TCTGGAAGGAATTAAACATCTTTAGGCAAGAATAAATCTTCACCTAAACCTCATGTCTTACACCGACTTCAACAGAACACGGGTCAGACGCTTAAATGTAAAATGTGGTTTCACAAAACTGTAAGGAATAAACAAAGGAGAACATATTTGATACGCAAAAAGTTTCCAGACTCAACATCTAAAAACTGATAAACTGGACTTTTTCAAAATTTAAAACTTTTGTTAAAGACATTGGTAAGATAGTGAAAAAAAATAGGCTACCGAGTAAAAGAAAATATTTGCAAATCACGTATTTGACAAACACATATCCACTAGAAATAAAGAACTTGCAAAATTCAACAATAAGTAAAAAAAAAAAAAAACCCAACAGAACAGCAACAAGAAAAAAACAACTAAATATTTAAACAGATATCTCACCAAAAAGGTTAAACAGGTTGCAACTAATGAAAACACGCTCAACATCATCAGCCATTTGGGCAGACACTCCAACTGTCGTGCTCTCGTTTTCATTCAGTTGCAGATGTTTTCCCATTTCGCCTGTCATCTTCCTCCAACAGTGCGTCGTTGTGATGTGCTGCCACGTTTCCCAGGGTGTGGGTATTTCCCGCTTGTCTTCCTCTTTGTGTTGTTCACTCACTAAGTCGTGTCCAACTCTTTTGCAACCCCACGGACTGTGGCCCACCAGACTCCTCTGTCCATGGGATTTCCCAGGCAACGTGTAAAAAGCCATGGTGAGACAGCCATGGTGTGTGGTATCACACACCCAGCAGAAGGGCTAAATAAAATAAGAATACTGACAATACCAAGTGCTGACACAGAAGAACCCAACTCTCACGCAGCTCTGCCTAAATAACCACCAAGCTACTTTCCAAAGCCAAACACACACTGAACACATTAGTTAGAAATCCCTCTCTTGGGGTATCTACCCTGGAGAAATGGAAATCACTGCCCCTACACAACCTGCACACACGTTTGTAACAGTTCTAGTCCTAACTGCCCCAAGCCGAAAACAACACAAATATCCTTCAGGAAGTGAACAGATATATTTTTTTAAGTTGTGGTATATCCATCCGTGGAATATTACCCAGTTGTAAAAATGAACAACTACAGCAAGGAAGCAGAACGCTTGGGAACCTGTGACTCAGTTAGACCAACAGCAGAGGACATGTTCTGGCCAAGTGCACATGGATATTCTCCAGAAAAGACTGCATGTCAGGCTACAAAACAAGTCTCAGTAAGCTAGATTTATTGATCTAACGGAATTAACTCAATGAGATGAAAATAAACCCCAATAAGAGAAAAAAAACTGGAAAACAAATATGTGAAAACTAAATAATAGACTCAAGCAATAGATCAGAGAAGAAATCACAAGGAAATTAGGAAATATTTTGAGAAAATAAAATGAACACAAAACACAGGATACCAATGAAAGCAAGGCTCTTGGGGAATTTATAGCCTTAAATGCCTACATTTTAAAAGAAAGCGAAGTAGTGAAAGTCACTCAGTCATGTCCTACTCTTTGCAACCCCATGGACTGTAGACCAGGCTCCTCCATCCACGGAATTCTCCAGGCCAGAATACTGGAGTGGGTAGCCGTTCCCTTCTCCAGGGGATCTTCCCGACCCTGGGATTGAACCCAGGTTTCCCGCGTTGCAGGTAGATTCTTTACCAGCTGAGCCCCCAGGGAAGAGGAGGACCTCGAATCAATAACATGAGTTTAGACCTGAAGAAACTAGAAAAGAGCAAATTGAGCTCAAAGCTAGAAGCAAGGAAATAATAAAGACTAGAACAGAGATAAATGACACAGAAAACAGAGAAACAGTAAGAAAATCAACAAAACCAAAAGCTGGTTATTTGAAAAGATCAACAAAATCAACAAATCTTTGGCTGAAATGACTAATATGTTTCAATATAGATAAAAATCAGCTATATTTCTAAACAACAGCAATGAAAAATCTGAAAAAAAAGGAATTTAACAAAATCATTCCATTTACAAGAGCATCAAAGAGAACAAACTACTTAGGTTTTAATTTACCCAGGGAGGTAAAAAAATTTGTATACTGCAAAATTGCAAAAGATTGCTGAAAGAAATTAAAGAAAAACTAAATAGATGGGGAGATATACCATGTTCATGGACAGGAAGACTTAAAATGGTTAAGATGTCAGAGGAGTTGAAACCACCTTGGAAAAGAACAAATTGGGAAAATTCACACTTCCTGATTTCCAAACTTGGTAGAAAGATACAGTAATCAGAAAATAAAGGAGTTCATGGTGACAACATCATGGAGGAATTTCACTTCTGAGAGAAAGACACTGGTCTCAAAAGATTAAAATTGTAGGACTCCATTTATAGGACATTACTGAGAAAGAAATGAAACTGTGGGGAAGAGAACAGATCAGAGGCTGCAGCAAGACCGCGGGAGTGCGGGGGCGATCATCAGTTGACAGCAGGAGGGGGCTTTGAAGTGACGGCGTTAGTTTGTGCTCTGATTAAGGGGCAAGTAATTAAAATGCCTGGGACTGTACACCAAGAAAAAGACAATTTGGAAAGACTGATGCTGACACTGGAAGACTGATGCTGACCTTGAAGCTCCAACACTTTGGCCACCTGATGAGAAGAGCCAACTCACTGGAAAAGATTCTGATGCTGAGAAAGATTGAAGGCAGGAGGAGAAGGGGGTGACAGAGGATGAGATGGCTGGATGGCATCACAGACTCGATGGACAAGAGTTTGAGCAAACTCCAGGAGACAGTGAAGGACGGGGAAGCCTGGCGTGCTGCAGTTCATGGGTTGCAAAGAGTCGGACACAATTATGCAACTGAACAACAACAGCTACATAACAATTCTAGAAGTCAAAAGTAACAAGCCTCTTGGTATACATTCTGTAGCTTATCGTGATGGTGATTACAAGTGGGGTGCCTATCTGTCAAGTGTGAGTGTGGTGTCTGGTGGGGTGGGTGGGTGGAAGAGGAGTGTTTGACCACTGACATTCTTCAAATCTGGAGGAACTCGGTGATAAGCAGAAGCAGACGGGCCTTCACCTTACTCACTGTTTTCACGCGTGCGTGCTGAGTCATGTCCGACTACACGACTCCATGGACTGTAGCCCATCAGGCTCCTCTGTCTGTGGGAGTTTTCCAGGCAAGATAGTGGAGTGGGCTGCCGTTCCCTTCTCCACGGGATCTTCCCGACTCAGGGATCAAACCGGAGTCTCCTGCATTGGCTGGAGGGCTCTTCACCACTGAGCAACCAGGGAAGTCCAATCATTGTTTTAAGCTTCTCCAAGACAACATGCTGTCTGAGATCTGCTCTCTGGGGGAAAACTCCCACGGCCCCACCCTCAGTGCCCCACGACACTGGGCATTAGAAGGGACACATCCTGTTGTATGTGGAGTACGCCCCGATGACACGGGCGTTTAAAATCCCTCAGGGCTGGCACTTAGGGGAAGCTTGGGGTGCAGAGCCTAACCCACAGGAAGCACTGGGTGAACGTCAGCTGTTTTGGTGCAAAGATTATGACAGCTGCTGATGGGGGCGGGGAGGGGGTCTTAGTTTCACAACCATAATGCATCGGAATCCTACATGCAAGTACCATCGGATTTCCGGGACCCAGAAAACATACGTGTGTATGTAAAAACATGGGCAATAGTTCATGCAGAAATATTCATCATAGCTTGTTCTCAGCAGGTAAAAACATGAAATAATTTAAGTTCCAAAAAGGGGAGCAGTCAACTGTAGTATGAGACATACTAAGGGTTAATGTTTACACGAAGACTGCAGAAACACAGAAAAGCGTTACAAGACAGCGTGGAGCGTCAGGGTTTAAATGGTGTCGGTCTCACTGCACACAACGGTTATGAACAGAAAAATCGCTAGAGACTTCAGCTGGAGATGGTGGCTTCTACATTTACAATTAAGTGCACCCTCTCTCAAAATTCCTTTAAAATGAGAGCATGGGTCTTCCTGACTTCTTGTGAGGCCTACTTCTGAATAGACAAAGAAAATAGAAGTCACAGCGTCCAAAAACCCTTAGAAGTTGGAAAACAGAAGCATAGTGGTAAATGACACAACAGAGCTAAGCCCTGGGCCAGCCACAGACATGCCGAGAAGTTTCCACCACTAACAGCCCTGGAGGTCTCGGAAACGGCGTCACGGGGAGCTCACTTCTGAAAGCAGCTTGGAGTCTCTCTCTTTCCCCCCCCTCTCAGGGAAGCATTGCAGCGCAAACCTAGGAGGAAGCACACGGCCTCTTCACGGAGCCTCTGCCGACAGCGACAAGGAGCACAGCCCCACGGGTGCCGCCGCGCATGCGGCCACCGCCGCCAGGAGCTCTCCCACATCCCTCTGGAGAGCCCCCCACAAGCCCGGCCACCTCCTCCCGCTCTGTCTAAACAGACTGTGTAAAGCTGATGTCACCGATCCTCTCAGCGTTTACAGTTCTCCAGAGACAACACACAGACCTGGCAACATCCTGTGGAGGAAGCACTGTAATCGTGGACTCAAGTTTTCAACGTCTGTAGGACAATGCAGGGGGCGCTCCCCAGGTGGCTCAGTGTTAAAGAATCCGCCTGCCAACACAGGAGACAAGAGTTCAATCCCTGGGTCGGGAAGATCCCCTGGAGGAGGAAATGGCAACCCACTCCAGTGTCCTTCTCCGGAAAGTCCCATCGACGGAGGAGCCTGGAGGGCTACAGTCCTCGGGGTCAGAGAGAGTCAGACACGACTGAAGTGACTCGGCACACACACGCACACAAGTTGATGCAGATTATCTAGTTCATCTTGGTTGAGGTGTGGGAGTCCTTGGTTTTTGAGGAGGTGGTCCATCGTCCCCGAGTTGACGATTCTGTGAGCATAGATTGCTCATGACATCCCCACAGGCTCTCAACGGCTGGAGGATCTGTAGAGGCGTCCCCGGTCCTTCCAGGTACTGATGCTCTGGGCCTCCTCTTTTTCTACCTGTCACCTTTGCTGGAGGTTCACTAATTTTCAAAGAACTGGCTTTCTGCTTCAGTGATTTTCTGTTTTTCTCCTTTCACTCTATTTGCTCTTTACGAGTGCCTCCTTTCTGCTTGCTTTGGGCTCCCTTTGCCCTTCTTTTTCCAAGGTCTGGAGACTGGACTATAAACCAGACATCCGCCTGCTCTCCTAGAGCAGACAGCCGGGGCCGGGCACTTCTGCCCGAACCACAAACGCTCACAGGTATGTTTACACCATCACTTGGCTGTATGTCCCTCTCCTTTGCGACGCCCTCTTTCACACCCGGGCTGTTTAACAGTGTTTAATCTCCAAATGCCAGGAGACTCCCCTGGGTTCCCCTGGCCCTGACTTCCGGATCGAGCTCCTTCTGGACACAGAACACACAGGGGGATGAAGCTGACGCCCCAGGACGTGCCGTTCCACGACCGGGTGTGGTCCGTCCCACCGTGCCTCTGCGCCCGATCGGGTCCTGCTCACTCCTTCCGCATCTCTGCTGCCTTTCGCTTCAGTCCTGCTGCTCCTGCGAGCACTGTGCCGGGTCCTGATTGCACAGGTGGACCTGCCCATGCCTCCTCCTAGGCCACCACTCGGCTTCGTGAGTGGAAGTTACACTTCTGTGCAGAGAGCCTCACACAGGGCCCCTTTTGGTCCGCCGTATTTTACCTGACATTATTCCACTGGCACAAGCCACACCTACTTTAACACATCCATGCGTGCCCAGCATGCCGCTTCTCGTTCTTTCACTTTCCACCTACCGGTGTTGTCATGGCTGAAGTGGGTCTTGTCGATAAAATATAACCGGGTCGTGTTTGTATCCACGCTGCCAGTCTGTCTCCTAATTCATGTGTTTACATTAAACGTGACTTGACTTCCCGGTGACTACATCTGCCAGTTCATTCATGTTCCCTGTTCGTTTCCTCTGTCTCCCTTCTTTTGCTTTCCTGTGGGTTCCTTGGCCACTTTCTAGAATCTCATTCTGCAGCGTTTTGGATACACGGCGTTGTACGCATTTCTTACTGTTGCTGGAAGCGTGGAGATGCACACACATAACGTGGCTTCCCGGCGTGGACAGACTCCCGTGCCCGCTGTCAAATCAGGTGGGCTCGAGGCTCCCACGCGTGTGCTGAGCACCAGCATCGCGGGACGCTCCAGGCTTCCACCCTCGGGGATGAGTCACAGAAACTCAAGGACAGCCTGCCATCCTGACGCGGCTCCGATTCTCCCCGTGCCGCTGTCCTTTCCCCGGGGAGGTTCCAGGCTTTCCCCTCTCACCGTGCCCTCGTGCCCAGGAGCTTCCTCTGACGTTCATCAAGGGCAGGTCTGCTGGCGACAGATTCTCTGAGCTCCGCTTCGGCGGAGGGTGTCTTGATTTTTCTTTCATCCCTGAGGATGTTTTTGCTGGCTGACAGCTCTTTTCTCTCAGAACTTGAGAAATGTTGTGCATTTCCTCTGGCTTCTGCAGTGTCAGATGAAAAACTCGCTGCTGCTCAGATCCATGTCCCCACAGATAATAGTGTTTCTCTCCAGCTCCTTTCAAGACTTTTCCTTTATGATTAATTTTCAGGAGGTTGATCAGCACGTGTCACGGTGCGGGTTTCTTCGGTTTTATGATGTAAGGGCTCCACTGAGCTTCTGAAATCTGTAGTTCCATGCCCTTCACCAGATCTGGGAAACTGCCAGTCATTACTTCTTAGGGTGTCTTCTCAGCCTCAACGCCCTTCTCCCCTCTGGGACCCCAGCTAAGCGAGGTCCCCCTCTGTCTCCTGACCGCGGGTCCCCGAGGCCCTGCTCTCTGCTGAGGGGTTTCTGCTGACCTGGCAGTCTACTGTGGGGCGTACCTGCTGAGTTTTCTATTTTGGTTATTGTATTTTTCTGGTGTATAATTTATATTTGGTTCTTTTTTTTAAAACATAATTTTTATTATTTTTATTTCTTTGTTGAAATTTATTATTTGTTTAGAGAGGATGCGTAACTGTTTGCAGAAGCACTCTTACGATGCTGCTATAAAATCCTCATCAGGCAGTTCCCCGTCGGAGTCACCATGGCACTGGTGTCTGTCGACAGTCTTGTCTTGTCCCAGCTCCAGGTAGGATGGGTCTTACTGTATCCTGGACGTGCCAAGCACCATGCTGCAAAGCCTCCCTCCCCCACTGAGGCCCAGACACTTGTTCTCTCGAGACAGAAGAGAGCAGGTCTCCGATGGAGGCACAGCAGGTGGAGGGCAAAGCTGATGGAGGCACAGCAGGTGGAGGGCAGAGCTGACGGAGGCACAGCAGGCGGAGGGCAGAGCTGATGGAGGCACAGCAGGCGGAGGGCAGAGCTGATGGAGGCACAGCAGGCGGAGGGCAAAGCTGCCCTCGCCAGCAGGGCGACGGAGGGCGTGTCCACCAACGCCACCCCTGGCCCTGCCCCGACGCTGCACCTGGAAGCTGGCAGCCCACCTCCAGACGGGGCTCTTCCCAAATATGCGAGGGTTCACGGTGAAACGGCCACGGGAGACCCAGAGAAGCCGCCAGCCAGGGCCCAGGCGGGACTGCTGCCCCCTCCTCATGAGCGGACGCCAGGGCCGCAGGGGCAGCATCAGCAGGAGGCCTACCCCCAAGTCGCCACGCTGACAGAGAAAGCAGCATGAAGAGAAGGGGCCATGGGCTGAAGGAGACTTCGGAAAGTCCCATCACTGACATCAAAGAGCTAGTGAACACATCTCACACAAGGGAATACTCAAAGAACAACAACGCTACCAAAAAACCCAAAAACCTCAGGAAATTAGGAGTATGACAGCAGAAATAAAGAACAGGCTGATAGATTTCAGAACATTTTATAGAAAGTAAAGACAAATGACAGAAGATAGGATCAAAAGTGTTTTTATAAAAAAGTATCCAGAAAGTGCAACATCTAAGTAACAGCTTCAGAAAGAAACAACAGAGAAAACACAAGGGGAAAAATGACCAACGAATAATAATAATAATGAATAATCGAAGGGACTTTCCAAGAGCTGGAGGGCGTGAGAGGCCACGGGCCACCCAGCCCGAGACACGACAGCGTGGCCGTGACATTTCAGGACCCTGGACAGCAGACGGCCCATGGTCCTCCAGAGAGGAGCACAAGGCAGGCTGGGACCCCAGGCCCAGAGGCTCTGCTCCAGGGGAGGCTGCCCCTCCCGCCCGCCACAGGGTCAGTGCAGGAGTGGAAGCCGGGCACAGCCCTGGTTCCTGCAGCCGGGCAGCGGGGAGCCCAGGGCCCAAACATACTGCAGGAGCTGTGCTCACGGGGGTGTCTGCAGGCAGGCAGAGGAGGCCTGCTGACCGGTGAGTGGGCTTCCTCCCAACGTAGCGGCCCTGGTCGGGAGGGGCGTGGGGCCGCAAAGGCCTCCTTGATCAAACACGAGGCTCCCACAATGGCTCCCCTCCCAACCAAGCCCTCATCCCGGGGGCACCGGGGTCTGAGGCAGCCTCAGCCTCGCCGCGGTTCACAGACCAGGCCCAGGCCCGTGGGGACGGGTTCTGCTTCTGCCTGGGTCGTGGGTGGTGGCCATGTGGCCAAGTCCCTCTGCAGCTGTGCCCTCCTCTGAGGCAGGGCCTGTCTCCAGACCCACGGTGCCTCAAGGGTACTCAAGACCACGAGCAGGGGGCTCGGCGGGGATCCGCTCACAGCTGAGCCCCAGCGGCCTGGAAGGGCGAGGGCGGGTCCCAGGGCACAGCCGTCCTGGGAGGGGGTGTCTCCAGGGTCAGGGTCCCCCAGCCCTGAGGCAGGGGGCTGCTCCCGCTGGAACGGGCCTGGGGCTGGGTGGGCGGGGCCCGGAGAGCAGTGACGGCCCTGGGGGGTCGGGGGACTAGCCGGCCCGCATACAGATGTCCGTTCTCAGGAGGATGAGCCTGTCCAGCCCGGAGTCGAGCCACGACGGCAGGGAGCGAGAGCCCAGCTCGGTCCCAGTCGAGGGGCCCCGAGCTGCTGCCGCTCAAGTCTTTACTTGAGCTCCACGCAGCTTTCTTCAGTAACAGAGTCGTGCTTCAAAATGTCACGTGTGCACACTTGCTGTGTCACACGTGTTGCGTATATCATGTATGTTTCACACATGTGTGATCTACCTGCAGTGTCTCTCCCGGCGCGAGTGACACAGCATGGCTGAGCCCACCCTGCCCCAGCCCGCCAGGCTCGCAGGAAGACTGCAGATCGTGCAAAGGCGGCGGGTAGGCTGTGGCCGGCCGGCCTTCAGGTGCACCGACCCTGTGGGAGCCGGGCTCCTGGCTCAGCGGTTTCAGGAAAGACCCGCAGCAGCATTCCTGCTGCGCAGGAGGCAGGGAGGACTAGAGGGAAGCTGCCAGGGTTCACTCAGAGTGAGCCCTCCCGAGCACCGGGGTGGATGGTAGTGGTGGGCTTCCCGGCCCCTGTCCTCCAGCCGAGCAGTTTCCCGGGAAAGCCAGGAAGCCCTCAGCTGCGTGGAGGACACTGACCCCGTGGTCGCGGCTGTGAGATGCTGGGGGCAGAGGGCACAGGCTCCTGAACAGTGAGCGGGGCGGGGGCGCCAGGGGACCCTCACCCCCACAGCCTGGAGGAAGGACATACGGGCCCAGCGGGCAGTGGCCAGGCCCTCCCATCAGCCCACCCACTGCTCCTGGGAACACGGCCAAGCCTCCCCAGAGCTGCCCTTCCGGCCAGTGAGCACGTCCTCAGGAGCCCCCCCAGTACCAGGGGGGCACCCCCATCGCACTTCCCACCGCCTGTCGTCACACACGCGCGCCCGCGGGTGAAGCAGAGTCAGGTCCCTGCAGAAAGCGCCATGCCGGGCTCGGGGCAGGAGGAGGCCGCTGAGCAACGGCCAACCCGGTGCGGGGGCGTAGAGCAGAAACTTGTGACAACAACATGGCGGGGGTGGGCACAGAGGAGCCGGGGGCAGGGCAGGGCAGGACGTACCTGAGTGAGCTCACCTCCTCCCTGGAGAACAGGAAGCTCTGCTCAGCTGGGCCCGCCTGCGACTTCAGTATCTTCAGCTCCATCTCCAGCTGTGAGGAGACATGGGCGAGAGGTCAGCCTGGACCAGGGGAGACACGGGCGAGAGGTCAGCCTGGACCAGGGGAGACACAGGCGAGAGGTCAGCCTGGACCAGGGGAGACACAGGTGAGAGGTCAGCATGGACAACGGGAGACACGGGCGAGAGGTTAGCCTGGACCAGGGGAGACACAGGTGAGAGGTCAGCATGGACCACGGGAGACACGGGCGAGAGGTTAGCCTGGACCATGGGCCCCAGGAGCCCGGGGGTGCAGCCACTTCCCTGTGGGGGGCAGGCGAGGAGACCCACAACTTCGGTGTTTTAGTTCTTGTCTCCACAACAGCCATGGAGGGAGACACAGTCACGTGGGCACGCTGAGGGGAAACGTCAGCGTCTGGGGCGAGGGGACGCAGCAGCTGGAAGGAGCGTGTTCCGCGCTGCAGCGCTCTGGCCGCTCTAAGTCCGGATTCGTCATGTATTTTGGACGTCAGAGTTCTCTACAGGACCTCAAGTCACACAGGCCGTCTGGAGGCAACGAGGAAGTGAGCTGCCGCAGCACATGGGGCTGGGGTGGGGTGCGGCAAGACAGGGCTGGAGAAGAGTGGGGAGGACACCCAGCCGCGGACCCGAGGGGGACAGGGATGGGGCGGGTGGTCCCGTGGGGCGGGGCAGACCCCAGCTGTGGGCAGCGCGCTTGGCCTTCGCTGCCCTGGGCTCCGATGGCCCCAGTGGGACACGGCGGGCGGAAGGACAGGCCAGGCGGCCGGCTGCGGGCACAGACCACTGTCCCCACACTGGCCTCCAGCCGTCCCTCAGCCCACCCTGAGCGCCTGCCACCCCCGCCCCCCAGCCAGCCCTGTCCCCCGCACACGGGTCACTGACACTCAGCTCAGCTATTCCTGGCCCGCTGCCCCACCCGGGACTCCTGCTGGTCTGGCTGTTCTGACCCCCAGGGAGGACCTTAACCCCGTTGAGTTCCCCACTGAGCCCCCGAGGGGACAGGGGAAGCCAGGAAGGCTCCTCATGGGATCCACACCAGCCGCAGGCCCTGGCTGGGAGTGGGGCGGCGGCACCGAGGTGGGGTCTGTGGCCGCGCTGAAGCCTGAACCAAGCCCTCCAGGCCAGTCCTGCGAGGGCCTCCTTGCGCGACCTGACTGGAGGGATTCCTGGGCCCCAGACACCCAGTCTTGTGACGCCCTGACCGGCCATCAGGTCCCCAGAGGAGACCCTGCCCCTAAATGGGCCAGCGGGCCTGGGAGACCTGAGCCTGCCAGCCAGAGCGCAGACCAAGCACAAGCACCCTTGGGGACCAGCTCCCAGAACAGCCTCGCGGAGCTGAGTTACACGCGGGCCCACAGCCAACTCCTCCGCCTACCGGGCACTGAAGGACACAGCCCAGCGCCCGCCGCGCTAGCTGCACCCCCCAGAGGTGGCAGGGGCCCTCGGCGTGGCCCCTTCGTCAGGACGATGGCCCGATTCACTAGCTCGCATCAATGACGCCCGCGCCACGTGGCATCACGAGCAGAGCAGAACCTGGTGGTATTCAGGACCAGCGGCGTCCACGTGTCCAGAGGCCCCCAGACCTCTGCTCGGAAGCTGGGGCTTGGACAAAGCTCCTCCTGGGAACCAAGCTGTCCGTGTGCTGCTGACCCTGAGTGCCCAGTCCCTCCTCTCTGATGCTGCCCGCACCTCCTACCTGGCGGTTGGTGGCGGTCACCCGGGAGCCCCCTCCCCACTGTCTCCACCTTCACGGTCATGATCAAACACGCCGGCAGACACAAACTTCCCTGGATCAGGGTTAGGGTTAGGGTTAGGGTTCTCCTGGGGGAACGTGGGCCTGACAGTCGATCCAAACTGGTCCCTGTTCCGTGCAGGCAGGGGCTGATCTGACAGCAGGGCACAGTGGTGGTCTCTCCTGGAGACCCACAGCCCTGTGCCAGGCCCTGCCGGAGGCCCACACACCTCGTCCTGGAACCCACGGGCACTCTGCAGCCTCCGGAATCGCACTCAGACGGGTGAAGGGGAGAAGCCTCTCTCCAGCTTTGCCCGGTTCCTCACCCAGCCCGCAGTCCCCAGGCTCGGCTCACATGTTTACAAGCTAAGAGGCTGATGTTCTTCCCTTCCTTAAAATGTATTTACTGTTTATAAAAACGGAACATTTCCTACACGTTGTTCTGTATGTTAATTTTTTTCACATAGTACGTCTGGAGGCATTTGCAGATCCGCACACAGAGAGCAACCAGTTCGCCGTTATGGGTCTGGGAACCGCCCCCGACGGCCAACCTCCTGCCGACCAACATCTGACCTGCTTCCTGTCCGGCGGCTCAGACACGCCGGTCCCCTGGGCACAAGCTGACCTGCAGGCCGAGTCCCAGAGTTGCATGTCTGCCTGCAGTCCCACCTGACGTCATCACCGCACAACGCGCGGTGGAGTCAGCCGGCTCACAGGCTGCAGTGACCGCAAGTGTTCACTGCAGGGCGCCCAGCCCAGGGCAAGCGAGGAGCTTGGGCTGGTCACGCTAAAGGCCCTGAGCCCCTGGCGGCTTTCAGGGAGGGCTGCTAAGGACAAGATCGGGGCGAAGGCTGTGGGTGTCTGAGCGGCCTGAAGGCATTCTTCTGCTCTGTTGTGGGGAGGTAACTGGGGGGTATTTTGGGCATCAACACCATCAACCTTCTGGATCCAACTGGCCTTGGGCCCACATGCGGGGGTCAGCACCTAGTGAACGTCTGAGCTGGCAGGGGCCTTAGAGCTACCTACTGCCTCAAGGAGGAACTGACGGCCCTGGACGTCCTGCTAGAGCTGAACTCATCACTGCTCTGTCCTGCTGACTGTTTCCCTCTCTTTCTGCGTTTCCTCGCTTTTCTGATTTAGCGTGCTCTTTGGCACTGGGGGACAGCCTGTGAGGTAAAGGTCTTTCACAGACGAGAGGCAGGGACCCGGGAGGGCCCCACGGGTCCTGCTGGGCTTCAGGGCAGGGCCCAGCCAGCCTTGAGGTGGCAAAGAAAGGCGCCTCGCCCCCCAGGGGCGCACGCGGCTTCCTGTCTGTAACCAGGTCAGCTTCGGACATCCGGTCGACAAGAATCCTGGGGACTTCTCTCTCCTGCCTCACCCACCCCATATTTTAAAAAGTACCCAAACCACCTATTCTCGGAACCTGGGTCTCGGGGAGGGTGAAGCCGCACATCCAGGGCCCGGCCGTGGGTGGAGCCGGCTTGTCCATCAGGACCTGCGGCTCCTGCGTCCACCCAGCTCTTACTGCTGCTAGAGTAGGAGGAAGGATTTTCTTCATCGTCTGATTCGTCTCTGTAGACACAGGCTCTGTCAACTTTCTGTGCGTTGGCTCTGCCGCCCACCCCCTCGCGGGGTCTCAGGTGGGCTGCGCGGTCTGCTGGCCGACCGTCCCGCCCCGGCCGCGTCCCTGCTCCTCCCCAGCACAGGTCCCGCGTCTCTTCCTGTCCAACAGTGACGGCTGCGAGCTCCAGAACACCAAGGTACGGTTCTAATGCCCGACGCTGCTGCCTGCATTGTGGCTTCGGTGGGACTAATCTAGCATCTTCCTATTTACAGCGTGTCGGTTTTCACTTGAAATGAATACACTCATGCTAAGAAATTACCCGTATGTTATTAGGGGATCTTAAGACTGACTGTTGGACTTTGTCAAGCAGGTTTTTAGGAAATACGGAGCAGACGTCCTGTGAGCTGACAGCCCGGGGTCGGAGCGGCCGCCTGGCCTGGAGAAGCCCTGTGCACATCCCGTCCCGAAGCGTGTGGATGCATGCGGCACCTCCGAATGTCCCGTCCCGACATGCATGGACACACGTGGCACAGATGGGCCCCTGCGGAGTTGGTGTCCGTACAACCCAAGCTTCCCTCCCCTGTGCCCAGGCAGCCTGGGCGGTGTGGACGGCGCTGGACCTGCAGCGGGATTTCCCTGGGACTCACACTCTGATGCCATTCCGTCTCTTCCTTTTTGCTGGCGGGGTGACAGAGGTGGCTGGTTTTTTTACAAGTCGGTAGTAACTGGTCTGTTTGAAATTTCTCTCTCTTCTGGAGTCAGTATTCATAGGTTATATTTTCGTAGAAAATGATTCATCTCATTCAGGTTTTCACTTTAAACAGAGTTGCGACATAATTCCTAACTTTTTACATAACTCACGGAGACCTCGTGATTGTCTCCGGGGTTCTCTCTAATGCATGTTTTCAGCGGTCCTCCTCCGCGGAGGGGAAGCCTGTGCGTAGGGCAGTGCTCACGCTGTGTGTGTCCACCTCCACGGCTCTGCGCAGCGGCACATGGGGAGCCTCGTCCAGGGCAGACCAGAGCCTTCGGGGCCCAGGACACGCTCTCCTCACCCGCCCTAGCCCGGCCAGCAACTCCAAGCTAACTACTCTTATTTCTTAGTTTGGGTGGTGATGCTTTCTATTAATTTTTTACTAGGATTGTGAATAATTAATATGTTTTACTAGTTTGTTTTCAAAGCACAGGCCTTTGGATTTATTTGTTATTTCTACCATTTTTCACTTTCTCATTAACTTCTACTTTGATCTTTACAAATTCCTACTTCTCCTTTACTAAGGTTAATTCTGTCTTCCTTTTCCAAGTTCTTGGATTGGGTGTTTAATCCGTACATATTCACTCTTTCTTGTTCAATAACATAAATATTTAAACCTGTGATTTTTCTTCTCAGCGCTGGTCTGGCTGTTTCCCACAGGCTCTGAAGGGAAGAGTTCCCATTAAGACTATTTTCTCAATTTTATGACCCAAGAATAAGACCTAGTCTCTTGTTCTATTACTTTTTTTCTTTCAAGAATTAGGTGCTATTTCTTTTTTTGGTTGCGCTCTTAAATTCAAATTTCATCGCAGTGTGATCAGAGAAAAGCTATTTGTCCTAGTTTTATTGGAAATTTTTTAAGTTTTAAAAATTTTATTTTTTATTTTTGCCTGTGCCGGGTCTTCACTGCCATGTGCAAGCTCCCTCCAGTTGAGGTGCGTGCGGGCTCCTCGCTGTGGAGGC